CTGACAGCCAAAGAACTCAGAAACTGAATAGCTTTACTGAGGCGTGGAACTAGTTGTATTTTGAGTTTTTCTTCGCTCCTCTGTAAAGCACTTTCAACAGAATCACTATTGTCAAAGCCACATATGCACCCAAATTTACAAGTAAATAGACAACCATCTAGATTAGAAATAGAGCCTATTTACTCTTTTCTACATTATGGAGTCATAGAAATCTGCTTGAAAAATAAGAAAACTGCAGCTGAAAAATGTGAACAGCTAATCTATAATAATAAAAGCATAGTATGCTAATTAGACTGGACAGCCGAAGGACCTTCCAGACAAAGCCGGGGCTGCGAGGGCTGCGAGGGCTGAGGGCCTTGCCCAAATTTCGTGCATCGGGCCTCTAGTCAGGTATAAAAGCCAGGACTGGACTCAGCTGTCCCCATTCGTCTAGAGCTTTTACTTAAGAATTGCTTCCAAGGCATACGCAGCTTTGTAAAATAAAATATAGTTAGAAAAGATCAATGGAGGGGAGGCAAGGGGGCATATGTAATACTTTCAACAATAAAGACTTTTTTAAAAGTAAAATAAAACATACAAACCCTGAGAAATCTTCATTACAGAGATCTTCACTTGATAGGAGTAAAGAAATTGTTAAAATAATTCAGATGAATTGTGCCATTAGTATGATGGAAAAGTTAAGGAACAGAACGATTATAGAGCAAGAAACATGTTTTGGGAGTGATTGGGGACTGTGTGCTGTAAATAGGTAACCATCAGTGTGTTAGTGTTATAAACCTATTAAGAAAATTTCCCTTTACAACAAACAGCCACATCAATAGTCAATAAAGCCCAAGGCAAATAGAAAAAAACAAATTTTGAATTCTCACTACGTAGAGATCTGCTTATGAGTCAAGAATACAAAACAAAGAAGCAAAGCACAGAAAGAAGGCAAGAGTATGGCCTCTAAAAGAACTATGAAAACAGAACCTGCCTATTTCTGGAATAGGTCGTGCTTTCCCAGCTGGCGGGAATGCTGGGAGGGAGTGCTGGTGGCACGGGCAGGAAGCAGGAGGACAGCTCCTATGACTGTCTGGTAAGCATCTCTGATCCTTCCTTCCTCAGTCCCAGAGGGAAGGATGGGACTCTGGCTAAATGTGGCTTTGTGGCCACAGTGACCAAGAGCGGAGACTGAGGAAGGCTAGTGCCTGCAGTGCTCCTGGCCTCGCCATACAAGTCCATGAAAAGGGGAAGTCAGTGGAAATGAAATGCAGCAGGTTTTGTGGAAATACACATATTTGACCCCATGAATACGGAGTTAGAACATCTCACGTTGCTCAGCCAAGTGAAGTAAACAAGGACCACGGGGTCCCTTGCACTAGGGCGCGAGATCTGATAAATATTCAGTATGAGGGAATGGCCTCCCCAGCTTACAGACACAGCTTCTCCAGGATAAACCGGGAGGTTCTGGGTAAAGGTGGCAATAGCTTCCTTTTTTTTGCTGTGCTGATCTGAAGGAAAATCCAAAGTGAATTATTCAGAAAAAAAAAAAAAAAAAAAACGAGAACCAGGGCACCTCTGATGAGGAAGGGCTTGTATGAGAAAGAACGCTGAGATTATCTAAGGGTCAGAAAGGCAAAAACATGTTTCATGTTAATTTCCCAGAAGCTTTTTGGACTTTTTATAGGTAACCCATTACCAGATGTAACTATTGAGGAATAGCAAGGCATTGTCCTTGAATAAATATAGTGACAAAGGTTTAAATTTCACAGAAACTTGCTGTAAAAACTAATCAGAGTTTTCCACGTGTCCTTAACAAGCTTCTTTGGGGGCAGTTCTTCCCACTTTGAGCTGACCTCTCACCCCTGCATTCCTCTACCTGTTTATAGCAAAACAAAGACAGCCGGTTCTCTGAACTGACAAGAGTCATTTGGACCATCTGAGATTCTGGAAAAATAAAACACACACACAAGGGAACATCCATCTTTGAACTCATTTTTACCACTTTACCATCTCCAATATTAATGGTAAAGATCCATCTGGCCCTTTGTAATTTAAAGGCTTTTTATTTTATTGCAACAGAGAACCTTGGAACCATTTTTTATTTTGGCAGTAAAAATGCAACATACATACATCACACCTCAAGAACAAAGAATCGGCTAGCATGGGAACGTCCCATCCCACAACACTGTTTCAATGGCAATGTTCCTTTACATTTCTTTAAATTCACCAAACACATCCATAGTATTTATTCTGTGCTAGCAGCAGGTTGTGAGTGCTTTACAGATAATAACATTTTTACGCCTCTTTGTTCTGATTATATCTAAGAGGTGTACCTATGAGGTACTACACTAATTCCGACCCATTTTGGAGATGGGGAGAATAAAGCACAGAGAGACTGAATGACTTGCTCAAGGTCACACAGCTCATTAGAGGCAGAAGTAATTGGAACCCAGGCTGTCATGCTCCAGAGTCCATGTTCCCCTTCATGATCCTGCCTCTTGAATTTTCACCAAATCTAAATTAAGAGGAACTGTGGTTTGTGCTCCAACACCTTACAGATTTTATAACATTATCATTTCAATATTTAAACTCATGCCATGTTGCAGCTTTCTCAGATTCTTGAGGAATAGCAAGAAGGAAAAGATAAATACTATCAAATATTATATTTGACCACTTTCAATCTTTTGGAAACAAAATGAAGGCATGGAAAATAATAAAATAGCACCCTGGATTTGCTGGGATAGCTACTACGCAAAAAGTGACTCTTAGCAGGTTTAAATTTTGTAATGCCACTAAAATTTTGAAAGGACTTTATGCTCATTCAACTTCAGAATCACCAAGCTGGCGCAGGCTAGGGGAAATTTAACTACATGGCCAAGAGACATGGCATGGCTCCTCAGGGTTCTTTCTGGGGAATACCTCTAAGAGACAGAAGAGTTTTCTCCTCGGAATTCTTTTATCACATCTGGCAGAGTGCTCTGCCCTCCTCCGCCTCTGCCCACTGCTTGGCACTCTGCCTTCAGGGAGGGTCACTCCACCGTGCCCAGGGCCTCCTGCCAGCGCAGCCCAGTCCCAGGTGGGGCTGGGGGGCTGTGCACTCCCCAAACCACTTCAGCATTTCCTTTGGGAGCGTCCTGCAAATTAAGGCAGCAAAGGAGGAGGAAACTATCTCCATTCCTGCAAAGAAACTACTCATTTTTCATCTGGGAAAGGTGCCTGTGTTGGGCCAAGAAAAAGGTACACTCTTCCCCCTTTGATTTTCAAAGCCAGATTGCTCTTCAAATTCCACACCTGTGGCCTCCAGCTGTGCAAATACTTCTAAAGGAGGTGAAACGGGCAGAAGACGCTATTCCACCAGCTACCATTCTTCTTTAAGACCATCTTCCCTCAAAAAACAATGTTGAGTA